GTCTATTTTCTCTCTCTCACTCTCTCTCTCTCTCTCTCTCTCTCTCTTGTTCCATCCCCCTCCCCATCATCTTCATATATCTCCCTCTTCCTCTCTGCCCTGCAAACAGTCAGAGCAGACAGCGACGCTTACTTAACCTTTATTGACAAACCCCCGACTCCCCGACTATCCGACTCGCGCACGCGCCGCCCCCGGCACCCACTCTCCCCCAGCCGCCAAACCAGTGTGGGCGACGCTGGAAAAAAAAAAAATAGCAACCTCGCATCAACACCGCTCATATCGTAATCTGACAAGTTCATGCAATGTCAGGCAACACCCTTAGAGGTACGCCCAATCGCGGCCAGGCCCGTGGAAGTATCCCCTTCACCCAGAGCCCCTCGGTCACTGGCCCTGCTACGCCTAGCACCTCTTCCGGCATTCCTCGACCAGTTCTAGAGACCCAGGCTACTCAGAGCGAAGTTGGTGGATCGGGAGTGAGTGCCAGCCGTCAGAAGCAGACCAAGAGAGATGAGGTATGAACCCTTTTCCTGGTATTGCCCCGCGATGAATACCTCCTGTTCCTCCTTTCCGACTTCTTGGGGGAGAAGAAATAAGCCTGTCTTGTCTATCCATTCTATCCATTCTGCTCTCGTCGAGTCTGCATCGTGACAATCGCGTCTTTCCTCGACCCCCAGAAGACCCACCCCATCTCCCTCCTCCAAATGGCTCGACTTACCTACGGCGAGCTTGAAAGAGCCAGAATGCTCGACATGACGGATACTGACTACTACGTCAAGGCGATCCGCAAGAAGATGGAGAGCGATCTCTCCAAGAAGAAGCACCTCACGAGCCGAGCCCGTCACTCGCGTAAGGCCCCGCCCGGCACCGTCCTCGCCCTGAAGCCGAGCCAGGCACTGCAGATCAAGCCTGGCACCTCTGTCGCCGAGGCCGCCCAGCTCATGGCCGCCAAGCGCGAGGACTGCGTACTTGTCACCGATGACGATGACCGCATCGCCGGTATCTTCACCGCCAAGGATCTGGCCTTCCGCGTCGTCGGCGCCGGTCAGAAGCCGAGCCATATCACCATCGCCGAGATCATGACCAAGAACCCCCTCTGCGCCCGCACCGACACGAGCGCCACCGACGCCCTCGACCTCATGGTCCGCAAGGGCTTCCGCCACTTGCCCGTTATGGACGAGAACCAGGACATCTCCGGTATCCTCGACATCACAAAGTGCTTCTACGACGCAATGGAGAAGCTGGAGCGCGCCTACTCGTCCTCGAGACGCCTCTACGACGCCCTCGAGGGTGTCCAGTCCGAGCTCGGCACGAGCCAGCCCCAGCAGATCATACAATACGTCGAGGCTTTGCGCTCCAAGATGTCGGGCCCTACTCTTGAATCCGTCCTCGACGGACGCCCACCTACCACTGTCAGCGTGAGGACTTCGGTCAGGGAGGCAGCACAGATGATGAAGGAGAACCGTACGACCGCTGTCCTCGTCCAGGACCAGGGCGCCATTACCGGTATCTTCACCAGCAAGGACGTCGTCCTCCGTGTAATCGCCCCTGGTTTGGATCCCGCTACCTGCAGCGTTGTCCGGGTGATGACTCCTCACCCCGACTTTGCTCCCATGGACATGTCCATCCAGGCTGCCCTGCGCAAGATGCACGGTAAGTGTTGCCCGTGAAGCGGAACCTTCGTGCAGGAACGCTAGCTAACCTACCGTAGACGGCCACTACCTCAACCTCCCCGTCATGAACGATGGCGGCGAGATCGTCGGTATGGTTGACGTCCTGAAGCTCACCTACGCCACCCTCGAGCAGATCAACACCATGTCCACCTCCGACAGCGAAGGACCCGCGTGGAACAAGTTCTGGCTCTCTCTGGACGACGGCACGGAATCCATGATGTCCGGTGAGGGTAGCCATACCCACCACACAAATCTTGGTTCCCGTATCATGTCCCCCGACATGAGCCGCGAGCGCATCGGCGACAGCGTTGCCCCCGGCGACTCTGCCTCCCATGTTGGTCTTGAGTCGCCGCCGCGGTCCGCTGTTACCGGCCACAGCCCGGTCCATCAGTCTCCCGCCGAGCTGCCGTTCCCCTTCAAGTTCAAGGCCCCGTCCGGACGCGTGCACCGCCTACAGGTTATCGCCTCGCAGGGCATCGCTGCCATGGTCACCAACGTGATTTCCAAGCTCGGAAGCGAGGTGGACTCTATTGGTGGTGCTCCCACGGTTGAGGAAGGAAGGATCTCTGGCGGTTTTGCGCTCAGCTACCTCGACGATGAGGGCGACTCTGTCTCGATCACGACGGACAACGATCTCCTCGAGTCCATCCTGCTTGCCCGCCAAGGTCACAGAGAAAAGGTCGACCTCTTTGTCCACGACCCCGAGAAGCCCCCTGTCTCGGCCGCCCCCCCGACCATAGAGCCGGTCGCCCTTCCTACTCCCCCTATTTCTGCCACCCCTGACCTGCGCCGGAGACGAGCATACGACGACGAGGACGACGAGGCGGAGGATGAAGATGACGATATGTCCCACGTGCGTCGGTCGCGCCGCGCTAGGCATGCGGCCGAGCCAGAACAGGTTATTGCTGGCGTTCCCAATGAGCTGCTGCTCCCCGGTGCCATTGTGACGTTAGCGGTTGTTATTGTTGGCGTCTTCACCATCTCGCGTTTGACTAGTAGGTAAGAGATTTCTTGGAGACCGAGGAACGCTAAAAGGGGAGGACCTCAATCACGACTTTACGAGAGTCCTTGGCGAAGCATTGTAGATATGTATCGAGTATTATTGTCTTTACTAGACTCGAGTACCCCGACTTTAATTAATCCATCGCACATCACCGTTTTGCATGATTCCCTTCTCAATTGTGTTTCCGTTAGTTTGGCAATGAAAATCCCGAGACCACCCACCCACCATAACAAATTTCAATAATATCATAGAAAACGTATCGGTTCCGTTGTGAGTGACGTTGTCAATCATTGGCTTACCTAATCGTCTGAGCGGTAGGGGGGAGTGGGGCGGCTACTTCCGTCCAGCTCTCCGAAAGCTCCAAAAATTGTTCCTGACGACCTGCAGCGCAACAACCACTCACCCGCCATCACGCCGCAGCCGACTAGGTAGACATGATTGTTAGAAGCATAGCCAGCCGGCATGGTATGATGATTCTTGGTCCCCAATCAATTGACAGCGTGCTGACCGCCCTCTTCCGTGCAGGCTACCGAGCCCTTGCGGCGCCAGCCGCCCGATCGTGCCACCGCGCCATCACCACGTCGTCACTTGGAGGCGTGACCCCCGAGCAGCTCGCGAACTTTACCGAGGCCGCGGCCCTCAGCCAGATCACAGAAGACTCGCCGCATGCGCGGGAGCGTCCGACTCAGGGGATGGAGGCCGTTCGCAAGGCGTACGTCGCGTCCCGCCGCGTGCAGAAGGCGACGGGGCACATCGGCTCCGTCGTCAAGCGCACCTACGTGCCCTCGACTCTCGTTGACAACCCGCCGGCGCCCAAGGACATCACACTCGAGCTTCTGATGGCCTCGCAGACGCACATGGGGCACCACACGTCGCTGTGGAACCCGGCTAACGCGCGGTACATTTACGGCGTCCGGCAGGAGATCCACATCATCTCGCTCGAGACGACGGCGGCGCACCTGCGCCGCGCCGCTCGAGTCGTCGAGGAGGTGGCGTACCGCGGCGGCCTTATTCTGTTCGTCGGCACACGTAAGGGCCAGATGGAGATCGTCACCAAGGCGGCCCGGCTGGCGGGTGGTTGCCACCTCTTCACCAAGTGGACGCCGGGCAACATCACGAACCGGGACATGATCAACCGCGGCAAGGAGATCAAGATCGTAGACGAGAAAGACGCGGCGCTGGGCGGGTTCGAAAGGCTGGAAAGGACGGGCCGGCCGCTCGTACCAGACCTGGTAGTGTGCATGAACCCGCTTGAGAACTATACCTTGTTATACGAGTGCGGTTTGGCCAACGTGCCGACGATCGGCATCATCGACACGGACGCGAACCCGGATTGGGTCACGTACACCATTCCGGCCAATGACGACAGGTATGCTTTAACATCACCCCTCGTGCCAGCTAGTGATGAGAGCCCATGACTAACTATATTCGCCCCCAAACAGCTACCGATCCGTCGCAGTCATCGGAGGCGTTCTTGGACGTGCGGGAGAGCAGGGTCAGAAGCGGCGCCTTGCGGATGCGGAGAATGGCGTCGTGGCGTGGCAGACGCCCGCCGAGACAGCGCGGTACATGAGGGGCGAGATCAAGCGGTACGAGAAGGAGATCAAGCGCTGGGAGCGCGACAGCGCGGCCGAGGCGGAGAAGGGCTCCAGCGGCGAACAGCAGCTGCTGGAAATGCTGCAGGTGGAACGGATCAAGGCTGTCGACGGCGAGGTCAATTACAGGAAGATGGGGTGATGGCGTGATGGGGTGATGCGGGTGACGAGGAAAAGTGTCTATCTCTGTGTCGAAGGAAGGAAAACGATAAAAGAACATCTGAAAATTTGGAAGACGGGAACGAGGGGGCACAGCCTTTGTACTAGATACACCGTTGTATGAACATGTACCAGTATTTATAGAATTTGCACCTTGCTTGTCTGCGGGTGGCTGTCACTACGTTAAGGGAGCTCTTGTATGGCGTGATGGCTCTTGGCTGTGTGCCCTCAGGCTCAGATAAGTCGTATACACATTAGAGGTATCAAGTATATCAACTTGTGTGTGTGTGTCAGCGAAGGCAAAGCCTCGTCAGTTGTGGTTTCCATGGTCCCTCTCTGTCCAGCAGGTCTTTCTCCGTCGGGGTTAGACTGGCATCCTGATCTCAAACCACTCGAAAGCCTTCCCTAGTGCCAGAAAAGCGAGTCCAAACAATACACGCATTCCCGTTCACGTCAGTGCTCTGCCTCTTCACTGCGGCGATTTGTGCTGCGTCTTCTCACAGCCTACGTCTCGAGGGCAACGGTCTTCTTCGGGTCATGTATACCCCCAAGCGAGGTAGCATGGCGTAAACATCAGCCTTCTCTGCTGTGCCTTGTTAGCACAAAATGTGCTTTTGCTAGGCCATGTTCGGTGGTATCCAGCCAAGCGCCATTGAGCAAGCTCCCCTACAAGCGTTGTGAAGTAGTAACAAGAGAACATGGACGACTCGACTGCCACCGGCTTACAGTGCAAACGACAACAGGGCCAGTCACGGAATGGCCATGCAGTGATGCCCGTTGGCAGTCGATGGCAATGCGACATATGGTGAGAGGGAGCCGAGGAACGCCCTTGGTGGGGCAGGAGCAACTCACTCACTTGGATTCGGCTTTTTCTTCGTCCTTCTTGGGTTTTCGCGGGCGCCCAGAGCGTGGCTTGACGGCAGCCGAGTTGGCACGAACAGCGTGACGCACCTGGCTGAGAGTGTATCCCGTCTGCTTCGCAATAGCCTTTGGAGGCATGTACGCGTCAAAGTAGAGGGTACGGATGCGGATGCGGTCCGCCTCTGTGAGGTGCTTGGTATGGACGCCTTTTGGACGGAACTCCATCGCGGTGGTAGCGGGCAAAAATTGGAATTCTGAACTGTTCCGTTAGAGTGACATGTGTAGAAAGAAAATGCCGAGGGACATGCCGAGGGGATGCCACTTACACTACAATGCTCTTAAGGCTCTAATGGTTGATGACCCACCTCACCTACTTGCATGTCAACTCGGAGCGACCCGACAGTGGTAGAAGATGCTGGTACTTACGCCTCGAAGAGGCTTGCGTAGCGCCCACGTGGTGATGTGGCTGTGGCTCTAAACTACATAATCGTACATGCATGCTTAGCTAAACCACCACCCCGTCCCCCATGTTGAAAACTTCGCACCTGCGCATTTCCCCTCCCTCCATCCATCACCAACGAACATTTCAGCACGGCACAAGCAGCAGCACAGCGCCAGCCAGCCAGCTCCATTCCCGTTTCCCGCACCGCACCCCGCCAAGGTCAGGCATTCGTGCATGGCGTAGCTGTGGTGTCATTGCAAAGCTTAACGCAAGGCGGTGCCAGCTCCGACCGGTAAACAAGTGCAGCGCAAGCCACCACCGCGCGCTTTCATTTACAATTTGACACGCATATCGACATTTTGGTCAAGAAGAAGCCGTGTCTCTCATTGGACAGCAAGTGGGGAGGACCTGATTGTCGGACCAGACTCGGTAGGCTTACTTGCAGCCTTTCCTTACAAATCAAGACCTGCATACTCCTCTCCTCCGTCCTGTCCCCAACATATCAGATGCCAACAAGACTTCGAAGACGGAAGGAGACAGACTGTGCTTGCGTGCAAATATCACGTGCTGCCAGCTGATTGCTACCCTGTTTGTTTGTTTGTTTGTTTGTTTTTTGCTTACCATGTGAAATGTTGACTAACTCTTTATTCCACGCGAAGTTGGTAGAGCCAGACTCGGTGCAAAGGGTAACAGCAGCTGCCCTCTTATAATTGGAAGAAAAAAAAAGAAAAGGCCCCTGCGGTGCCGATCCCGTCGCCGAGTCAGTGCAACATGCCGGCAATGCTGGATGATCCGACAAGTCCCACAATTTACCGTGTCTCCGGAGCACCACCGTATCCGGATCCTAACCAGCCCGAACTGCCTGTCGACATCGTCCCTCGTCAAGTGACGCTCCGGGATCGCCAGACGACAGCAACCATCATACCGTTTGCATCGCAAAATGAGGTACCTCAGTCCCTCGTTCGCTATCTCAGCGATCAACTGAACAAAGAAATCGAGGGAGGTGATACGTACCCGATGATGGACCCCATGCCGGCCGGCAAGTTCGGCGCCTATTGGTTCCAGAATTTTGGCGCCATCATGCTGCTCGGAAACATCGAGCGTGCCGCCCTCACAGACGATATGGACTGGTCCCGAGAGTGCCTGGGCAGCTTCTACATCAAGCCCAACTACCCCGGCCGCAGCAGTCACGTGTGTAACGCGGGCTTCCTCGTCACCGACGCCTCGCGCAACCGTGGTGTGGGCCGGCTGATGGGTGAGTGCTACATCGACTGGGCACCCAAGCTCGGCTACACCTACTCGGTCTTCAACCTCGTCTATGAGACCAATGTTGCCTCGTGCAAGATTTGGGACGCGCTGGGCTTCAAGCGCATCGGCCGCGTCAAGGGCTGCGGCAACCTCAAGTCTCACCCGGACCAGCTCATCGACGCCATCATCTACGGACGCGACCTCATACCCGGCGAGTCCGAGGAACTCGTGAGTGAAGAGCGCTTCGACAAGATCAAGTTCTACCTCAAGTACGGCAAGTATCCGGCCGGGGCTGACCGCGCCGAGAAAAGCAGGCTCCGGAGCGCCGCCACCCACTACAAGCTGCTTGACGACGACCGCCTGATGCTCAAGGACAAGGAGGTCGTTCCCGACCCACGCCGCCAGTACGAGATCGCCCGCGAGGTCCACGTCGCCCAGCACGGCGGCATCAACAAGACGACGGCCACCATTGCCGAGAAATACCACTGGAGCCGCATAAAGGAGACGGTGAGCGACGTCATCAGGAACTGTGTCGAGTGCAAGGAGCTCAGCAAGATGCCCGCCTCTGGAGGGAACGGGGGCGCGAGGGGAAGGGCGGCCGCGGTGGCCGCTGCCGCCGCCTCCTCGCCGGCGAACATTTCTACTTCCATCTCAAATACTACCCTTGCAAATCCCTCGTTCACAAGCACCTCCGCATCAATGCCGCCGCCCTCGGCCGCAGACGTCAACACCGCAAACGGCGTCCTCGCCTTGCAGCATCACCTGTCTCCCTTATCCCCTCCACGATCATCACCGTACGCCGAAGTCGCATCCATACCGCCGTCGCACACCCTCCGCGACCCCTCCGCCTCCCCTCTGCCCCGTCACCCGCACCACAACCCTATGCTCCAGGACGAGTCCTTCCAGCCCATAGACCCGCAAATCATCGGCCCGCCGCCGACGTCGCACGATGACCCCTACAACCACTACCACCCGCACCACACGGATTTCCAGGCGCTGCTCAACGCGACGGAGGCGGAGGAGACGGCGGAGGAGGCGGCGGCTGTGGACCGGGACCTGGACATGCTGATTGAGCAGGACCACGACGAGGATGAAAGGGACGGGGATGTGCCGATGGGGGAGAAGGATGGCAGGGATAAGGACGTATACTCTATCGGGTTCATCAACGGATGAGAAAAGAGTGAGAAGGTTTACGCGCGTGTTGTTTGGCGTTTTGGGCTGGGCTACGGCGGGGGGGCGGGGGGCGGAGGTTCTGCCATTTCTACTTCCCAGATTCCTCTACACAAAAGGAATGAGCATGTCGGCTTTTTAAATAATGAATGCATACTAATAAAGCTTATAGATACCACTGCGTTCGCTCGTACACCTGCGTCGGTCGATATGCCGCACCTCCTGAACGGGTGGTGTATCCCGGAAGGCCAGTCCTGCTGAGCCGATGGACCCCCGTCACGACAAGCAAACTCTGAAATGCTTGGGACGGACGAGAGTTCTTGGAAACCATGTCCATCTGGCAAAACCGCATGCTGACCCTTCTTGATATACCGCTTTGGAGGCTAGGGCCCGGCCAGGCAGGGCAAGGGATCCGTAGGATCGAGCGTTCAGTGTGCTTTCCACAAAAGGCTCACATGAACCCTCGTGGTCAATAGAATTTAGATCTTTGAAAGCTACACTATTTGTCTTGGCTCACCGCACCTCTCATCTCGAGATGCACCCGACCCCTGGCCGGGTATAAGCCCCGACCCAGGTGTTTTGTGGGGGGCGGCCCTTTTAAGCGCACCCAGCAGGTTAAGATTCGGATTGCTGACAGGAGTTGAGCTAGGGGATGTGACCCTCGAGAGGGTCCTATCATAAAATTTGTGTGATCTCGACAGTCTCGAGAGGTTTGCTATGTCTCTGGTCGGTGTGAGTGATAGCAGCTTCCAACGATACAGCATCTAACCAAATCCGCAACGTTTAATCTGACATCAATCAGGCACAGAACCGTGGCGGCGAGCGTGGGACGGGTGCGTTGCCAGAAGTCTACGAACAACCCGGCTTGGAAGCCGTGACGCATGAGCAAGACTGGTCCGGTCTTCAAGTCGTCAACGACCACCACCACCGAGATGGCAGCAAGGAGGTGACATACCAGAACAACGAATACGAAAAAGATACCCGTGGTAGCCAGCGAAGCCGAGTTCGACCCTGCCGCACAGAAGTCGCTGCCTGCGTCGGTAGCGGCACGGAGAAGGAGGAAATTATAGCTCCTCGTCGGAGCCGGCGTCTTGCTGGTCATCGTGACGGCCGTCGTGGCAGGCGTGGCAGGCGTGGTGGGGAGCAAGATGGCGGGGGAGCAGGGCGCAAGGGGTCACCAGAGGCGCAGGCGATACGCCGGGGCTCGTCGCTCACGGCAACGGGGTGGTGGGAAAACACTGGCTCGGAGGCCAACGACACCTCGTGGCAAGGTCCGGATGAGCTCGACTTGTTCGCCACGGGGAACTCACGCTTAGCGGGATCTACAATCGTGTATGACACCGGATATACGGTAAGATACACCACCCTCCCTTCCCCCAGGCCGCCGCCGAGAGGTCTTTGAACATGGCTAAGTCGTAAAACACCACAGCCGCAGCCAGAACTCTTCTACACCAACGCCCAAATGCAGCTCCTCGGCATCAGCATGAACGACCTGTACAACCCGACGGTTCAGGATGACAGCATCAAGAGCATGACCCTCAGGACCGGCGTTGACAGCAGCGTCGCCTCCAATTGGCCGTGGTCCATTTATCAAGCCGCCGACGGCTACCTCGTCGAAGTGCGCAAGCGGCTGATCGGGGGCACCTTCCGCCCCGCTGCGGAGTGGGATGCCAAGAGGCTCCGCGTGCAGGCGGTCAACGCCAGCCGGCTGGCCCTGGTGCCGACCTCGACCAACTTCAGCAGGATCGCCATCCAGGGGGGCTACGGGATCTTCTACCAGTCGGCGAATTCCAGCCTGGTCGCGCTTATCCCCGATCTTGCGAACAACGTGCCCGCCGACTATGTGACGCCGTGGCCGACGGGTGTGCCCTCCCCCATCTGTCTCCTCCTACACCTCCTTCGGGAAACTGTTTCGAATCGTTGAGCTTACCATCGCTGAGCAGACTTCCCCTCCATCACGCTGCCCCAACGCGGCACCTTCGCCGCCTTCTCGGTGGCCCGGCCGTCGGACTCGCTCCAGAGCGTGGACACGTATGCCCTGTACCTCGACGCCTCGTCCAACATCAACGTGGTATACACGGACTCGTCTACCTCTTCCTCGCCCTCCTGGAAGATGGCGCAGCCCGACGTTTTGAAGGGGGCCGACGCGGACACCGACACCGCGTGCCTCACGATGGCGACCTCGGCCTACGACTCGTTCCAGGAGGAGGTGCCGCTCAAGGTGGCGGCGAGCATGGTGAGATGCTGTTTCCAGCGCGAGGTGCTGGTTAGAGAAGTGACGTTGAGCGGGACGCAGTGGGTTGACGTCGGAAGCGTGCCGATATCCTGAAAGACATGTATTTTCCCCCTTCCTAATGATTGTGTTTAACAAGCGTGTGAGTTTTGTAGTAAGTCATGTCACTAGTATTTTTTTCTATTCATCAAAGCGTCATGATCCTACCTGAGACCTCGCGCTCCAGTTGTCAAATCTTCAGGGCTGTGGAAAGACCGTCTGTGCCGCAGCAACCCAACGTATAAGACCCAAGATGTAGTATACAGGTGTGAAGTTTGGGGCGAATGATGGGATGTTCTATGCCCCACAACCGGGTCTGCTATAGCCTCTTCCCCCAAGGAAAGGTTGTGTCAAAGACCTTGAAACATGACAATGGCACGGCAGATCACGAAGAGCAGCTGGTTCGACACAGCTGATGGATGAAGCGAGAACGGAAAGCTTACGGACGCTATCCGATGGGCAACGGTATATCAAGGTCGAGGTGACCAAGATGTCCAAGATGTCCAAGGTTGGCCGCCTCCCCGAGCGGACCAGAACAGTCCCAATTGGCATCATCGTCGCCCGAGTTACGTACCGTATCAATCAGTCCTCGAAGAAATACCATGTTGGCGAGAACACCATAACGAAGCGTCAGCCTGAGATCATCGACGTGTTTCGCGCGGACAAAACAGCTGGGTCGAGCCGACGGCCTCACGAGGATAAACCATGCCCGCATGTCCACTGTTATAACAGTCACATATCGGCCTCTCCTGGTGCCGACCCGGTCTTCTGGAATTTTCATCGTGAGGCCATTATGTCATTCTCTAAGGGAAAAGGAGGGGCGAGCAGGGGAGAAAAGCACACACCAACCCAGCAAGACCCAAAATAAAACAAAATAAAGGCGATAATGAAGTACCGGCGCGATTTCCACATCTCGACTCCGCCGCCCTGCCTGCTGCTACTGCGACTACCGAGGCCCAGCCCCAAACCTGCGGTCCAACCCGCATATGATGGGGATCTTTTTCGAGGAAGAAACAAACAAAAAAAGCCAATGAATGGGCCGGCGAGGGACGTGTGACCTGGACGAGATTTCTGTCGGCGGCCATGAAACAGTTTGCCAGTTTGCTATTGAGCTCACCCCGTCGCACCACCGAGCCCAACCCCCCTCTCTTATCAGAGACTGGGTTTGGGCCAAGATGAGGATGGATAGGGCCGTCATCAGGGTCCCTCCGCGGCACCCAACCTCCCTTTCACTGCTTGTGCACACACACACACACACACACACACACACACGCGCCGCTCGCTGATCCGGAAGTTCCTTTCGAAGGGGGCTGGAGGTGCAAATCCAACCTTTCCGATGCGATACCGCTAGAGGTGAAATGGCTCCGAGAGGCCAAAGAACCCTAGAATCCTCCCGCCGCGTCAAAGGCTGGGCGTCTTTCTCAAGTGATGCTACTGGGTAGGGCTCCGGCTAGTGGGGGTCTCTAGAGGCTGGCCCAATCCGGTGGGCTAGCTGGTTGGTCAGTCGACCACACATACTATTGTAGGGTAGGTATACAAGTCTCTCGCAACGGCAAACAGCCATGTACGTACATGTACATGTGCTATACACCATTGCCACAGGTAGCGTACAAGTATTACACTACTCCGTACACATACACGTATACAAACAAAAGACAAAAGTGAAGGTTGCCGAAGGAATGATCGTCAGGGGGGCCTTGGACATGACACACACCTGTTCCCCGTTTTACATTCCCCAGCGCACCCACTCTGCGCGGCCAAGCAAACCACTTGAGACTCTAAAACCCCTTTCACCCCCTCTCCAACTCCCACGTGCGCTCGGAGGCAAAAAGAAAAAGAAAAAAGAGAAACCGCAAAGTAAGGCTGGTTTTCTTGTCTTGCGGCCAAGATGTATTCTGTCGAGTGTAAGGCTTTCCTCGCTGAAGGCTACCAGGAGATTGGCGATGGGATTTCCACACCAGTCAATCAATCGTGGGAGAGGTCATGTGACCTGACACATGGCCACTTCCCCGGGGAAGCACGTTGTCGGTCGGCGCTCGGAGACGGCGCTCGAGGGGGAACGGCACTAGACTCGGCTGTCGGAGTGGTGTCTACGGCAAGTTCACGGCTCGTCTGTCAACTCATCACAGAGTCGCCGCAGCAAGTCAACTATTCAATGTAATCTGAGAGCAGTCTTATTATGACGTTATTGAATTCTCGATTACTACGCTTACTTCCTTTGAGTAAATCGAACAAACGCTTATCAGAGGGGGAAAAATCCAGCACAGCAGCCTCCAGCACTTCATCTCCCAAAGAAAGGCAAGGTATAAAACGCGCCCAGGCTCGCAGACACACTTCCAAAATAAAAATAAAGGCCGATGTTGCTCTCGCGCACATCTCACAGGGGCTCGCCGAACGAGACGAGCAATGTTATCCAACAGTAATATTTTGAATAATTGCCCAGTTGTAAAATCCGCCGGTGAGGCCCCTCGCCCACCACATAAAGGTGAGGGACCATGTACTACTATACACACAAGATAGGTGAGGGGGCAGGGCGTGAAATACCATACTCCGTTGCGACTCTCCCATCAAATGTCGTTAAATAAAAAGGGGTATTCCCAATCGCCGCCGTTGTTGTTTTTTTGTATAGAGAAAAACATCTCGGCCGGCCAAGCCCTCCAGTGAAAGGGACCCATAGAAGCGAAGATACCCAGCGGGTGTGTTTGGCGGGCCGGGGACATTTTTTGTGATTGTACGTGGAGTCTGGTGTGGTATGGTATGATGCGATATGCGTAGTTGGCGATGCGATTGGGTGAGGGGTAGGTTATCCCGTCTCGAAACAGGTCATCCTCCCGTTGGTGATATCCAATAGTTGTTCTAAAATGGAGTGCAAAAAGGAGTGGACGGCGTAGAGGGGGTTTCTGAGGCCGACGGCGGATTTTAGGTCCCATAGACAAATAGAGATGAATCCAGCGCAAATCCATATCATAATTCCGAGATATGTTCCCTACACCATGATACATATGAAATCCGACGACACTGGTCGCTTTCGGAAGACGCCCCCGAGTGAGCCAGCGCCGGGAGATTTGAACACCTTTAAACGCCATCGATGCCAGAATGTTGAAAACTAAAGTTAGTAGCCAGAGGCTAAGTCGTTCGTCGTCATGGACGTGAGGGAAGTGCTCGCTCATGCATTGGTAACCTATCAAGGGGATACCCGGATTAGCCTCATGATCGTCCCATCATTCATCTCAAGTCAAAAAACTTACCCGGAGAATCTTCCGCGAGTAATCTTGGTTGTCAGCAATGCTGCCGTCACTCATGCGTCGATGAGCCAGAGTGGGATCCATGCGGGAGTCGCTCATGGACATGCCGCTGCTGCTAGGGGGCTTCGAGCCGCCGATAAAGGCATTGACGGCAGCGTTGCGGCGGTGCTCCTCCTCGATCTCAGCATTGCGTCTCCGACGAATGAAGAAGAAGGCGCCGCCAACAATGGCAGCAATGACGACGACGCCGACGACGACGCCAGCGGCGATGCCGGCGGTGTTGCTGCCGCCCTTCTTCGAGTCACCAGTAGCGGTTGGTGTTGGCGATACAGTAGGGGTCTCAATGATGGTCTCGACGGCACCACCAGACGACGATGTGGGCTTGCTAGCAGCTGATGAAGTGGTAGGCGCAGGCTGTTCGTTAGGCACCACGAGCTTGATACCAGTGTTGAAAACGGAGAAGTACAAGGCACCGTTATTGTCCACGCCACCGCCTGTAAATAGGTTAATACTGGCTCGATCGGCGAATCTCAAGGGGTTAATCAAGTTAGGTCAAGACATACATGCTTCGGCAGGGTAGAACGGGCAGGGGAAGTTGCACTTGGCGTCGTCGACAACGGCTTCTGTTGGGGGGTAGGAGTCACCGCAGTAGCAGTCCTCGCCGTTCAGTGCCATGACGTTCTTCTTTTGGACGTCCGTGCATTCAATGTTGCAAGATCCACTGCTGATGCCCTGTTTAGTGGCGTACTTTTGCCATGATGTGGCATTCTGGTTGTAGCAGCCGTGAGAGGTGAGGGCAGATGGTAAAGGAAGCGTGCTGGGCTTCTGAACGCCCTTGGCGGAGCTGGTCGCTGACTGGGCAGAGGCGTAGCCCAATGCCATGACGGCCAGAGCAGCTACCGAGTTTTTCATTTTTGCGGTAATAAGTAAAAAAACGACTGGCGTCGAGGGTATAATGAGTGTGTGAAATTAAGATCGAATGGGAAAGGCGGGTGTCGAGTCGGGTCGATTCTCGTGGGAGTTGCCGATTTAGACACGTCGCGAAGGTTCCCGAGTTCCAACCGGATCCGAAGGGACGATGATGCACACACAAAGTTGGTGCGGTTTCCGTCGTTTACCGGTATTTCCAGATCTTTCAAAGCCCAAGCAGCGTCGTCGAAAACCCAAGCCGTTCGATTGGTAATTGCCGGTCGATCGAGTGGCGATACGGTCGGTCGATGGTTGATGAGCGTGTTTGTCGGATGGTTGTCAGGTCGTGCGGGAAACAAGGCGAGTCCTAATGAATGTGTGGGCGCGCAACAACAGCCGCGTAGGTTTCCTATCTCTTTCTCTCTCTCGTGCTGAGCTTGTTTGTAATCAAGCGTCTTGTGCGTTGTCTCCTTGGAAATCCTCTCTCTTGCTGGAAAGGGAAAAGAAAAAAGAGGATATCACGGAGAAAATGGCATCGAGGGAGAGGGTGAATGAGCAAGGGAAAGGAGAACCTTGGCGAGATTGAAGATGAGTAACAAGGCGATGGAAGAGGGACAGACTTTGGGGGAGGGGGGGGGAGGAAATGAACGAGTGACAGTGGGTGGAATTGGAGGGAACGGCTTGTTTTGTTGAAAAGAGGGAAACGAGCACGGAGTGGGTTGAGATGAGGAGAAAAAGCGAAATTACGAGCCCACTTTGCGGCATCCCGGGGGTCGTGGGAGGGTGTGTGTCAAGAAGACGCACCCCCTTTCCTTGCTCTCCCTCTCTCTTTCCCTCTCTTCGACGGCACCCACTCCCCCATGCATGCACACGCACACTTGTTCGGAATTAGGTCACCCGTTCTCTCTCTCACACACACACTCACACATACACAAATTATCTCTCCCTCTCTCTCACTTCCTGCATCAGCTCTGCTTGTGGATGCAAAATAACAGGCGGGCGTGGCACAACCAGTCCCTGAGGGGACCTCCTTGGCTACGTATCTCAGTTGGATAAGCAGTCCGTCCATACGAGGAGCTAAGGGGACGCACAATTAGGGCGGGCCAGATCAGGCTAGGCCCGACACTCGAGGCAGAAAAACGGCTTCCCGTCCTCCCATCTGGCGTGTACGTATATGTGAGTTATGGTGAGTGTGCATAACTCTCTCCAGACTCTGTACATAGTAGAGCCTACTTGAGAAGAAAGGTCCCTGCCGTCCACCACTACTCTCCTGGGAAGAGGCGAACTCGTGCTGGGAAAAGCCTCGGGAAGTGCGCTGGGCCCAGCGAGCGTAGCAAGCATCGGTATCAGCCAAGGGGCTCCCTGGCGTCACTCAAAGCCCCGGCGAGGCAGTCTTGGAGGAAAGCTGATGACGGTCCAATGGCAGCGTGCCGCGCCTGGCGACAGGACGGATTCCACTGGGTGGCATGCCTCAATCTGCTGTCCCACGTCGATGTCGATTGGATATCTCTGCGGTCGCGCGACAGGGGTTCGCGTTTGGGGTCTTCCTAGTCGAGGATCCAGGAACAAGAATTACTATTATCATCGGGGGCGCAGTTGACCACGCAGATCATGAGCAGTATCGGAATGATTGGCGGTATAGGATATCGTCTGAGAGCCCATGGCAGTGAAAGCTAGATAGTTCATGTTAGTAGTAGAGGCTGGTCTGGAGGCAAACCCCCTAATAGGATAGATCATCCCTTGTACGCGCTATCGCAATCAATCCGCTACGTACCTCTACTACCCGTGTACCGTACACACGCCCACCACTCTCCACGAAGTAATACCTACTACTAGTGCACCACGAGGTATCCGTAGAGTGATCAGATCCACTTTCCAATTAAATCTTTCACCAATGCAACACACCACCGCCAACTTTTTTTGGCCGCCGCCGCCCTGCAGAGGATATCGCGCGGGCCCTTCATAAATCGGGATTTGTGCATAAAAGAGGGGAGGCAAGGAAAGGGGGAGGCGGTGAATAACTTGACACACACCCGCTACATTGTCGTCGCTATGTACCACCCCCTCCAGACTTGTGAAATGGGGGAAGAGGCAGGCTGACGCTGGCCATCCAAACTGACAGCGCACCAGATTGTGAAACCCTCTTTTCACGGCGGCGAGAGACAGACAGAGAGAAATAGCTGTTTCCATTCGACGCGGACATCCGATCCGCCGCTGTTGCTCAACCGTTGTCGGTTGGCCCATACCATACGGTCAGTCTCCCAGTGGGCATTGTATTCGTCGGGCGTTTATCATTCAGCTGCCACGCGCGAACCTGTAACGGCGGCAAATCCTTTCCCCCTCGTCGACGAGGATTCCCTTACCTCCTCTCTCTCTATCCTGCGACGACTTGGACGACTTGTCGCCGGGACTCCAGGGACTGTGTGTCTGACACTGATTGTCAGGGTGTCACGCGCATGGGCGCCCGCATGGAGCTGGCTAGCATTCAATGGTAAGGGCGGGTACCTACAGAGAGAGACGGTACAGCAAATACGCTGTACCGTACGCGTCGGCAGCCAGGTACTCGCCCGGTTGTGCGACGTGATGGTATTGGAGGGAGGGGGGGGCAGGAGGACGACGCCTGCGCACCGGCGTCCGTTGCACCTTTCCTTGCCGCCGGTGCCACGATTACATGACAGGATGAACCTGATCAGCCTTCGCTCTTCGCTCGGCCGTGCCATTTCCTCCCAGTGCCCCTTGCCTTCTTTTGGCAACGTTTCTTTCCTTCTTCGTCTCGATTTGTTGCGAGCTCGCGGACCGGCTGGGCGTGCGTGCATGCAGCCCAACTATATGGGATACTGAACGAACGAACGGACGGACAGGCGGCCTACGGATGACTCCTTCCCGTCTGATTGACTGTTCGGACGGACCCTTTTTTTTTTTTTTTTTTTGTCTTTGTGTCCCGCTTGGATCCTCCCCCCAACGGCACAGCAATTTGCAGCATGTCACCTTCAATAATCGGATGACAGTGGGCGATGACGGGTGCTTGAACGAACGTTTGAGGGAGACGAGAGAGGAGGGTTATGGCCGATTCGATGCTGCTGCTGGTGTTTCTGATGATCATCGATGGACAGCAAGAAGTCTCGAAGCCGGTGGTTCCCTCGAACGATGAACTTGCGAAAACGAAACCCGCCTAGAATCAAGTGGCCGCCTCGAAGTCGCAGATTGAAACGTGAAACGAAAAGGGCTAGACGGTGGTGGAAGGTCCCTTCGCCTTCTACTTTTCTTCGTCTTCGTCCTGGCTTCGGCAACACCGTTCATTACGAGTGCTGCTTTCTTTTACTACCCAACGCCCACCGGCACCTCTTAGACCGAGGCGCCAAAATGAACACCGCTGAGGCGCATTGCACGTTGTCAGCTCGCTACACCTGAGAGCCAGGCGTAATATCCTGCTGTGCTGTGCATGAGAAACCAGGTCGTTCGGGCTGTGATGCTGAACCAAGAGTGATTGGTCACATTGCCTTGCGATGCGATGCCTGCCTCTCAGAATCACCACTCCTACCTTGATAGGCAGTCTATTTGTTGCTGCGTGCACGCAGGGCGCGAAAAGAAGCAAGGAGGAGGCGGCGAAATTGGTCAATGGGGATGGTGACACTCCCTGGCTGGTTCCCCCAAGGGTGTGGGCAGCATGTGGGCAGGCAGGATACGAGGCTGGGCGGCCGGGCCAACAGGCTCAGAAAAGGCTTGCAGCATGCCAGTTCGTCGTCCTTGATGCCAAGGTTGCCTGTGCGTCTAACCCGCCCCAAAAAGAGTATGCAGAGCACTGTACGACTTGTCAACACGGGTAGACAGGTGGCTTGCATTGGCCTCTAGTCTTGGTTTCCCAATCCTCCTTCCAGTACGAGGGGGCATGATCAGGAGCGGAATCACACCCAAGCGAACTATAACACGATGGCGAGATGGAGAAAAAGCAGAAATAAAGACAAAAGGACAAGGCAGGAAATGAGGATTCATCACCCCAGCAAATAGTGTTCGCCCCCGCCCGAGAAGTAGCCCAAAGGAGAAATCGTGCCATTCCTCGGCATCATAGGCAGGTCAAATGCTAGAACAACAGCTTGCTGCCACTGCTCTCCTTAGTGTCCATCAATTCCCGCGTCTTTGGGGGCCCGTTTGGGGGTCTGAGCAGCTTGCTTGATGCCAACTGACAGAGCCTGTTGATTGAACGCGCATATCCCGTTCCGCAGGAGAAGAGAGGGAGAGAGAAAGAGGAGCCGCCAAATAGAGAAGCTTGTCCCTAGTTGCATCCGCAAGCCTGGGTATCCCATGCATGTGCTGCTGGGGATGGCCCCAGGTTGCATTGCCTTTCGCGCTTGGGGGTTCATGTTGCTCCCCTTCCCCCCCAAAGCACAGCCTCATTGTTCAATTGAGAAGGGCTGCGTCATGTTGCTGTTGGCCGCTGGGCATCCTGCAGGCGAGAGAGGAGGGAGTTTGCTTGCCGATGATGATTTCTCGCCCCCCCCAAGAGTCTGTCTGAGTGCGCTGTTCTATGTCTAGCAAGGGGACGGGATGGGACGGGGACCGAGCATGGGTCGAGCCGGGTTCTATTTCCATCTATTCATCCATCCAACAGACACTATCGAAGCCCAGACGGTTTGCCGAGAGGTTGGCGAGGAGCGAAAAGGAGATGATGTTGGATATCTCAGCCCGAAGCCACCGGCATACCTGAGTAAGCAAGCCATTTACCACCGTGGGATGGGACAAGAAAAACCCGGTACCTCCGATTGTTAGAAATTGATCGACATTGGTGTGCCCGAGTCGAGAGAGTACATTCTTCGAGAACACCGACTAGTCAGTTCGTTGCATAAGGGAAGGGGTCATATGTTGGGCGGCTGTGACTATTCTTGGCAGAGAAGAGAGGCGTGTTCACCAACGATAAGCCCCCCCCCCCCTCTCCGGTGGCTTCGCTCTTTTTCAGGTAGGGGAACGGGGAGGCAGGCGCCAGCAGAGAACAACCGCCTGCCTGTCACAGCACCAGGGAGCGGGAACATGGCATCGCGAGCCGTGTCTTCAGTGTCCGACAGGTGGCAGGCATACAGTACCCCCTAACTTACCTCACTAAAGATAGGTTGGAGGCCCCCTGGAGCACTTCGCACTAATTAATTAGCCACGTCCTCCCTGCCCTGGCCGTGAAATCGCTCTGCGTCTGTCTTCTCAAAGCCTCACCATCGCCAATCTCTCTCCCCGCCCCTACATCTCGAACCTCTCGAGCGGGAAAAGCAATGCTCGAAGGCATTCCGATACAACGGACTCTCGGCGTCTATTGCTGGGTGAGGGTATCTACGGATACCCCGCAAAAAAGAAACGATGCCCTGCCGTCCGTCCGCATGCACGCACGCACGCACGCATCCGGCACTGCCGTGAAGGAAGTAAGTGCCTTGCAGCGTTCCAACCGGTCCCATCGGTCTTGATTAATACGAGCAAGGCACTGACTTATTGGCCCAGAAAACTCACTAGGCGAATAGGCTCCGGCCACAACAGCAGGTCAGCCCTCCCTCTCCCCCCCAACCACCCCGAGATGGCACTCGAGCACTCGACTCCGTTGATCGGCTTGCCGAGCTTCCTATCTCGAGTCGGTACCCGGCTCCCGGTTCCTCGTCCTCGCCTTGCCGTCTCCCGACCAAGGAAAGCGACCACCACCCGCCTGCCCACCCCGAAAGACCCCATCTCTTCCACTATCGGCTGCGACGCCATGCGGGAACTCTCACCCCTTCTGCACATGCTATGGCTGCCGTCTGTTCATTTCAAGAGTCCGAACCCCATCTTTCAAACGACTCGCTGCAGGGGCAATCCCATCTCCCCCTCAACCTGTGAGCCAGCCACGCAAACCCGCCGTAGTATGCGGCCTTCGATGTGGATGCTCTGGAGAAGGTCGAGTCATGGTCCAGCTGCTCAGCCGCCTGGAGCCCTTTGACCAGAGACTGGCAACTCCGTGAAAGGTCTAAACTACCCTGAGCTCGGTTACTCTTGTTATGGGGACCTACTATGTACCAACTCTTGACCCTTTAAGGAGAGCGCTGAACAGGCTCCGACCACGGTTCTTCGGAGCCGTCGAGATATTGACCGGGAGCCAACGACCCGTTTTTGAAGGGGGGGGGGGGGTTGGTTCTTATGTTCACGTCGCCTACTCAACGAGAACGAGGCCGCTACGTATGAAGGTCTTCTATCCCCCGCCCCTATGTACGGTGTGACCGTGCTGGCTTTTGATGGTCTCAACATCGCATTCCCTTCCAGTTGAAATGAGGATGGGTATCTCTTCATCTACTCCTGCTGGCCCTGCCGCAGATCCCGTCGGCTCCCTCACCCTAATTACGATTAGCCCGTCACCCCGTCCTCTCTCAAGGCCCGGGCCCGCCGCCCCGAAAATGGCGGCACGATATTGCCCTGCCCATCCATTCATTCATCCATCTGGAGGTTTCCAACCCGTCTAGTCTTACATCAGCATCATACTCCAGACGCCCGTGTGCACTTGAAGGGGCGAGTGGACGCCTTCTTCTCAGACAAACACTCTCGCTTGAATGCAGTCCCGTCAACAAACTTGAGACCAGTCTCAGACACTTTTAATTATGCGAGACTGCCACTGATGTTTACCTGTTTCCCGCGCAAGCATTCGTCCCCCAAGAAGCATCTCGAACCATACACGTCTTCCAGGAATGAAGCTGCCGTCTCAAGACATGGCTTTCTTCCGTGTCTTGGTAAATTCCCTCCCCCTTCCGCCAAAAAAAAATCTTTACATCAACAAGAAACCCATGACGCTTGCTCGACAGAAATAGAGAGCTGAAGCATGTCGGGCTGAGGGGAAATATGCGGCGAGACGGGGAAGCCGGCTTCGGATGCATCAGAGGCTGTCAGACGTCGCCACCACGATCCTTCACGTTGATTACCCAAATCCCGTTCGGCAGACGGCGTGAGCTACAAAGATCGAGTGCCATAGCCCTAAGACCTTGAACGCCTTCGGCAGCGGTTCGACGACGACGAACCACAAGGGGGAACGTCTAGGAAGACGTCCCATCGACAGGCCAAGCTGAAACCCAGACAACTCCCCCCAACGGCTTCTCCCTGTAAGCCGCACCGAAGCCCACGAGCCGCCTTGGGCCTTGGGCTTGGCGTACACACAAAGACTTGCCGCCCCGGGTATGACACGATCGACCAGCATTTCTCTACCGAGATGCTCGTCCAAATTCTAGATCCCGTCACTGGCAGGCTGTAGCAACCCCCCTTTTGCATGTATCGCAATTCTCTCGTTGACAGAAAGACAAGATAACCATCAACGGGGGAGGAGGAGGTGGAGTATTGACGAACACTACGCCTCTGCGGTTTCCTTGATACTGATAGCGTGTGTGTATGCGTGTGTGTGTGTGTATGCGTGTGTGTGTGTGTGTGTGTGTGTGTGTGTGTGTGTGTGTGTGTGACGACCGGCCGCTTCGGAATTCATCCAATCCCTCCGGTTTTGTTTTTCTCTTTCTTTTCCCGGTCTTCTGCGTGTGATCGATCGCCTCTTGTTAGTTCCTCAACTGGTCTGACCAACGCCGTTCTGCATCAAATTCAAACCAGACACAGGGCAAAAGGCCACCCCTCCCCCAGCTCAAATGCTCACATCCTTCTCCCCACAGTGAAATCGGGGAAGTGTTTCCGGCGCACATTACCTCGTACTCGCGGCTTAGCAGCACCGCTCCTCTGGGCCGCCCCCCTCGAAGGGCCGAAAGGGGTCTAGACCGTCTACTCCCGCCAACATCCCAGGCACGCATGCTCTTATTGTCTTATTGTCGCGTCATCCACCTAAATAGGGTAGCGGCCTCGAATGGGCGAGCTCTCCTGTTCATCTCTTCTCCGCCACGAGGTGCCGATGTACCGACGCTCCAGCTGTAGAAGGAGATAGGCATTCTGTGCCGCCTCCCATCGGATAGACTTTACTAACCTTTGGTTAGACCTCGACATCTCCCCCATCCCCCCTTCTAATAAGTTCTAGCCTACCCCATGCAGTGTAGTTTTTGATCCCGTATCTGGTGGTGCTGGTGTAAATCTTGACAGCGGCCACATGAGGCATCTCGATTATACCACACTCCCTGAAGGCGCCGGAAAGCTCCGTGGCCGCGCGTTCCTAGGGCTGCTAGGTCACCTCTCCTGAGGCGCCTTCTTTGCCTTAGCGAGGGGGCGTGTGGGAACTAGTGCCATGGTGTTTTCCGCCAGACCCGGTTGGCGCTAGGCGCCCATCAGGGGGGCCGTTTCTTTTCTCTTTCTCTCCTTCTTTCAGCTGCGAGAGTTTACGCCTGGTGGCATCAGGGATTAGGTAAAATTTTCTCCAATCTGCCCTTTAGTCGGCGGCTCTCGCCTTCCTTCCAACGGCCCGGCTAGGCGGTGATGAAAGACACCGTGCGTACGGTTGCGACACAACGGGTATCCGGAGCAAGGAGAGATGAAGACGGAGATAAATTAGGTTTCCATTTATCGAGATTCGGCATCCAGCTGGGCCTGGACGGACACGCCCGCTTGAGGGATTTTGTTCGGACAAGGAACAACGTACAAGTACAAGCCAGTCCCTCGTAGGGTCGGCAGCTACACTATGTTGGCTTTACTATACACACTATAAGGTAGAGAGGAAGGGAAACCGCTCGAACGAACGAGGAACAAAAGACAAAGGAGGATGGCCGTCTAGTCCCCCCCACTATTCTCGCCCTTGGCTAATCGGCGATTACCATGTGCTTCCTAAGCCCGACTCGGGGAATAATAACTGATGAATCGCATTGCACGACAGTCCAGCTGTACGACGATGATGGGATCACCCTTGGCTGCCTCGAGGTTTTTCGATTCGGTTAGCAAGCTGCGTAAAGCGCAACGCTATGGGTTGTCGTCTCTTTGCCTGGGTAACGGGCCCCTATTGGCGTGAGGTGGGACATGCTGGACTTCACAAAATCGATAGTGCGTAGTGGTGATGTATGTACGGAGTACATGTGCAAAACGAGTTTTACGCGCTTCTTCTGGAGACATACAGGACCTTCAAAGTAAACAAGCCATCGTAGCGACAACCATATCCCGGGCCGAAGCCCGGGGGAACAGGAGATGCCGGCTAAGATTACAGGAAGGCTAAACTGATATAACCTCTACAATATGTACAAATACCCTGGAAGAATTTCGGACGAGCAATCAAATCTTCTTGTTTTTGGTGGTGTCTGTACTTTCCTTACCTTATTCCCCAGCTTGCTTTTCACTTCCCAACGAGGAGGATTGAGCCGTTTCACTTTAACAAGAAACCGGGGAAAGACCTGAAAACGTGTCTGAATAATCAAATCCTGTGTGGTTCGAAACGACAAACTATCTCTCTGGAACAAATTAGTATATGAGCAGAGCCCGTGCGCACTGAAATTACCTCCCTGGTGGCTTTGGACTTCATCTTGACCATTGATTCCGCGTTCCAACTCACGTTGTCCTGTTACTCCCTCTGCTTTCAAATCGTCAACCAGAGTAAGAGCCAGAAATTGCTTTCCTCCCCACGTGACGCTTAGCTGTTGTGGTTGTGGGTGATAAGCCCGATACGCCTTGGCCCCTCTAGTGAGCAGATGAAAGCTCTCGAGACTGTAGATTACTTCTGGTTTTATTTTTCGTGTTAACTGTTACTGGCGATGCCGGTGTAAACGAGCTTGGCTTTGATATGTTCTATTGTAACAAATATTTGCTATGCCAAGCGAGCAGTTGTTAGAACCCTGGACCATATGCAGAGCTCATCCGAGGCCGGCAATGACCACCGATATCAATAGACCCGTTTGACCGTGACAAGCATGCTTGGTCCCGCAAAGGCTTGATAAGCCCAGCTGCTGGCCCCCGTGCCTGTTTGTCACCCGCACCCGCCACTGAGAACCGATACTCACACCCGCCTCGGATGTTTCGTGTCTGTACTTTTCAAGTATAGCTTGGCGCCTGTCGGCATAACGTTCGCCTTCTGGGAGCAGGCCCTCGGCGATCTCCCAGTCCGGATGCGGCTGGATGCCGAGAACCACCAGCGTCCTGCCGTTCAGGTACCTCACGACCAGAGCACGAGGCGGTGGTACACCGGCTGGGAGACGGGGAACTTGCTGATCTCCTTGCTCCGCTTCCGGACGCAGATCTCCCACTCCCGCGACGTGGCCGCCGGCTTGTTGACCAGCCAGCACTCCGTGGGCGACTTGCGCACCCAGCCGTCGGCGGTGTGCTGCAGGCCGACGTGCACGGTGTGCTCCGTCCCGCAGCGCCGGCAGATGCCGCCCGTCCGACAGCCCAGGTCCATGTACAGCCTATCCTCGGGCACGCTCGAGAAGACGATGACCTTGAAGCTGACACCCCTGTTTGTGATGGAGAATGGCGTCAGAGTCATGTCCACCCTGCTCCTCCTCTGCTCCAGCGTCGCGCAGTGGGCGAACTCTGATGGGGACCCAGCAAACGCCCCGCGGTAGAGCTGTTTGCTACCCCTCTCCGCCAGCCAGGCAAAGAGTGACATGTCGTCCGTCTCCTTGACTATCTCGTCCTGGAGCCGCTGGAAGGCCTTGTGGCCCTCCCCGTAGAGCATCGGCATGTCGATGTCGAACAGTCCGAGCAGGGGGTAGGCTTGGCCCTCCACACGCGTCGTCTTGCGGCGGGATGCCCATAACATCTTGACCGCGACGGGGACGGCGGTCATCTCTTTCTTCAACGCCAGCACGTCGTGGTCGATACCGGTGATGGCGGAGAGCGTCGACGCCTCGCCGTCTTTCGTGAACCAGTACTGCCAGCCGGCGTCGTAGAACTTGACGTAGGTCGGCGCCATCAGCTCCTGCAGGGTCCAGCCACGGCTGAGCCACCTGCAGACGCCCAGGGCCGCGGCGTCCTCGGGCGGCCTGCGGAAGGGTCACGCCGGCGACGGCTGCGGCCTCGTTTTAGGGGGCAAGTCCGAGAGGAGGACGAAGCAGACGTCGGCCTGCCTGTACCACTGGAACATGGAGTTGATGGCCTCGCTGAGCTCCGCGCTGCTGTTCTTGTCGATGCAACAGGTGTCGACCCAGGCGTACCCGAGGCCCCCCGTCTCCAGGGCCATCTTGTAGGCGCTGGCGATTTTGGCGAAGCCTGCCTTCCGCTTAGCCTTGCGGACGTAGGCCATGTTCTGGAAGGTGACCTCCTCCCAGTTGCGTGAACGGATGGCGTACTTGACGGCGGAGGGGTCGTGGAAGCGCTCCAGGGTCAAGGTTCTGGTGTTGGTTAGCCACATGCCATCCGTTGCCAGAGGCGAGTTTGTGTGTGCTGACAGTTTTCGACAAATGAGTTTGGCGGTCCTCTTTGTGTTGCTTATCAGTGTCGATTCGACCATCGTCATCGCATTGCCGGCTGATCGCCTCATGTGAGCTGTGTTGTGGTCGCCTTGAATCATGCATGGAGCGGATTGTAGCGTGTATGCGAACCGTTTCGTAAATATCTCGCCCCCCTCGTTCATCGTCATGTATGGAGACAGGTCAGAAGGTCAGAATGAGCCGCAGACAGGCAGCCTGCACTACCACCACTAGACATGTGCCTGTCATGCCATCCTGCCTTGCCTGTTCTGACTTAGAAAGTGCGCATTTTCACGGCGAGTGGTAAACCAAGCTCTGATTCGGTCAGAGCGTAAACGGCAGAAGTGCGATTTTGAGCATAAAACTTCTCGTGAACACTGCTGACAGTTTGTCACGGAACGAGGCGTATCCAGACTAGAAACCTGACGACATTGATCACACGAGCGTGGTGGACTTGGGATTGAGACATGAATTAGACCAGCAGGACAGAAGAGATCACCGAGACGGAGGGCAGGAAAAAAAGGCATAAGCGCTAGAAAAATGTTTTACATTTATGCCCGAACCGAGGCTGAGCTTACTTATGGTACTGCTCACTCTCCTCGCATTCTCCGCGGTGTTTCCGCCAATCCTTCTTCTGGCATTCGGGGCTGCAGTACCTTGCATTGAGGCAGCGCATGCACTTCTTCAGCGCGACACCGTCCTTGCCGGTCTTTCCGCAGCTCCTACACCTCTCCTGCTGCGGAGGAATGACGGAGCCGGACCTTTTGTATAGATCCGTGTCGACAATGTCTTCGACGAGCGGCACAGCAAATGTCGGGCTGATGGCGACGCGAGTAGCGTACTTGGCGGCCGTTTCCCACTCTGGGAGGCCGATGAAGTTGTCCGGGAAATGGCCGTTGCCGCACGAACAGAGGACTGGCTCGCCGGGCTCTAGAGACAGCGGAATAGAGCCGGTCTTGCGATACTCGCAGGACGACTTATGGTTCCACGTCCGGCTGCGCTCCGCGAGGGCGGGGAGAGCCTTTTTCCAGAACACCAGCTCGTCGTCGTTGACCGTGACGGAGCACATCTCCAGCTCCCTGAGAAGCAACAGGAACGGCTCGCATTTCTTAACGAGCGGGATTGTCATAGGGAGGACCGCGGCGTCGAGGATGATGGAAGCTGCGGCAGCATCAAGCCTGATTGCGGATACGAGCACCAGCATGTGGATACCGCCACGGTCGGGGTGATTGAGGCAGAAAAGGCCAGTCTGGCCACCCTGCTGGCCCGAGGAGAGCATCGCCATGGTGAAGATGGATTCCTTGAAGTTGAGTCTGGGAGACGTCGAGAGCGCTTGTCGTCCTGCGTCGACTTCCTCGCGCAGCACCCTCTCGCTGACGGAGAACACGAAGGAGAGGAGGGTCGTGATCCAGCGGTTGTCTTCTTTGCCCGAGAGGTCGATGATGGGGAGACGATCGAGGTTCAAGTGTGGGGTGTTGAGGTCCGCTGGGGTGTTGGAAAGGCTCCGCGCGAGGTAGGTTGGGAAGACAAAATCGTCGAGAGCTGTCTTCGTCTGTGGTTGTGTCGGGGGCACGGCGAAGGGAGCAACGATTTCAATGTAGGCCGACTTGCGAGCGATGCGGGTCTTGGCCTTACTGGCATCGACTGGAGTTGGGAACGTGAGCGGGTAGATGTGCTTTTTGTCACCAAACACAATGTTGATGGTAAAGGGTGATGCTTGTTTGATGGCGATTGGGACCTTGTCAGCGAGCAGTTTCTTTTCTTTTTCTGCGAAGAAGTCAAGATGGCCTGTGATAGTCTCGACCCTGTCCTGATTCTTGGACACGTCAGCGGTGAAGATGGACGCGGTCTCGTTTTTGGGCTCGACATCAGACTCGGCTACAGTAGCCGCCGCGTCAGAAGCAGCGGGATACATTGTCTGTCCAGGCATGTGCTTGGTGATGAATACGCTGCCCTCATCGCCGAGCTTCGCTTGGAATATTTTCAGTTCGTGACCCAAGATCTGGCTGAAAACGGCTGCGCTTTGAGCGGAACTGACGATCTCCAAGCGAGCATAAGCCGTCTTACGTTCCATCTGGAGCGCAGCAGCTGGGACATAAAAGGAGGCGATGAGCGGAGAGTTTCCAAGCCAACCCGCCGGGTCCGCCTTGACGACGACGGAAAAATCGCTGCTCTCTCTGTCGCCGCTGGTGATGATGTTACCAAAGACGAGTTGAACCTCGTCGTAGAAGTTGTGCCACTGGTGATTCGCATTCTCGCCAGAGATCAAGGATCCTCTAATGGTGGGAGCGCTCATCTTTGCCTGACCCGATCCTGCGTAAACCCGATTGAACGACTCTCGTGGCACAACAAGACTAACGGCCACAACCTCTGGGACGTGCTCCCACGAGTCAAAACCACCAAGCTTACGATTGGGCTTGATTTCTTGACGAAGCCAGGGCTCCGAAAAGACGCCTTGGGTATGCATCTGCAGGGATAAGTCCTGTCGGAGGTTGCCAGTAAACATGAGACTTCTTTCCGCGCAAATCTTCTCTATCAACAGCCTGCAAGTGACGTCGAAATCGGTAACGGACAGTCTGAACTTGAGATATCGCAGAAGAGAGACGAGCGTGCCGCGATGAAAGTGAGAATAGGCCGAGTTTCGAATTAGCTGGGTGACGGAAGCTTTCGAGATGGAGAGGAGCTTCATGGGGTTCTCATGCGCAAAAATATCGAGGTACAGACGGAAAAAGATGTTCGCCAGCGCCTCTGGGTCGATCTTGAGAGGACTCTTTGAGCTCACCCCAGAGAAATGTTTGCTTTGCTTCCATGTGACACGGTTGTGCACTTGAGACAGCGTATCCTTGGTCGACTGTATGCTGTTGGTCCTTAAACCGATAAGAACCTCGTCAACGCTCGATGTAGCAGTGGCGTTTGTCCAGTATTCTACAGGGCTCGCTCCTAGGAGCAATGAGATTGTACGACCGTGGCCGTAAAGGAGCTTGTCGAATGCTTCCTTCGTGGTATCTTCCGTCTTGAGGAGAGTCTCAGTAAACACAGCTGACCAAGGTTGGGCGGCGAGTAGAGGCAGCGCCGATATAAGAATATTCAGAGTACCGAAGTGGTCTGCAAGGTTGGAAGTATCGATAGTATCGAAGGCCGCTGGGGCTGATGGCTTTGATCCGTAAGCTTCGGGATCGAGAGCAAGGATCCGGGCATCGAACTGTCGGCGGTACCATCCAGCTGATGTCTCCTGGGTCACAGCGTAGTGTTGGAAGGTTTGACACAATGCCAGGGCTTCGCTGGCAACAGAACGAATCACTAGTCTCTTTGCCCGAAGCATAGTGCCGCAGGCAGTGGCCCACTCTCGAAACTGGGTCTTCGCGGCGGCGAAGACCTTGGAATCCTCATCCTTCTGGTCGGGCTTAAGAGGAGACTTGTCCGTCAGGCGGAGGAACGCAGCTGCAAGATGGAAGCCCAGAATGGGATCAGTTCCATAATGCAAGAGATGATGCTCCGTCAATGAGGCATAAAACAGGGGATTTGGGTGGCTTGTGACGCCGCTTGGTCCTGCGGCGGCAGATTTCCAGAATTCTTCCGATGCTTCGACGATCTGCTGCGAAAATTGCAAAGAGACGGGGGCAGCTGATCGCAGACCAGTAAAGGAGACGCCGCCGCCAAAGGCAGTATTCTTCGTGACCAATGAATGCTTCATGTTGGCAACCAAGGCGGCCGAGTCCACAGACGTATCATCAGACTTGGCAGCAGCGTCGTAGGTGACCCAAATGGCACGAACATCGTCGAGGGTAGCCTGGTCGCAGAATGGCAAGACGTTGCCGTAAGAGCTTGCTTTCCATGATTTCAAGGACTCAGATGCGGAGATGAGCTTCTTGACTTGGGACGCTAGAATGCTCAAGTCTTTCTTGTCCAGGTGGAGGTTGTAGTACAGGTTCCATGGCGTGTTGCCGGAGGCGCTGTTGTCTAGGAGGAGGGAGAGCAGAAAGATATTACGTGCTTGGGTGGATTAGTCAAAGCCAGATCTGATGCTAGAGAAAGGGAAGCGGCCATACCCAAGACAGCCTCGTCAATGTCGTTGATTGTGATGTCAAGCTTGCGACTGGCTTTTGGGGTGTTAGTGAGCTAGGAGTAAGGGAGCTAGGCTGCGACTTACGGAGTCCATCCTCATGATACGAGGTGTGAAGGATGTTCCTCACATCACCACAGCCGAGAAGAAGAAGATTGGCATCGATACCATGAGGCAAGTTTCTGGTCAAGTTGATGGCGGGGGTGTTGCCCACAGCATAGAAGAAGGAGATGTAATTCGCGACAGTAGGGGTGAACATCTTGGCGATAGGGACGTCTGGGGGAACTTGGCAACAGAAAACGAGATTTGGGATTGAGATCAAGGATGAAGACTACAAATTAGTCAGAAGTAAGCATGGGAACAAGAACAAGACGCAAAGTGTTTGACGACACTTACGATGCAGGGGACCGAAACACAAAGACGGTAGTCATATGCGGTATGGAATGGAACGGCCTGCGCCTTACCAAATCAATGGAGCTCGAAGAGGTCCCGGGAGACACAATGAACCGGTGTCGGCCAGAATAGATTGGCCTGCGTTAATCAGATCAATCGACGATCCAACAATATGCAGCTTGCGGTTATGGAAAAAGGTCGAATCGAACACCAAGAGGGAGTGATACATGCTTGCTACCCTACTTCTTACTTCCCCCGGAGAGGTCGTTAATACTTATCTAGGTATTCCTAGGTAGCTATTTAATCGTAGGGCGGTACCCGAGTGGCCCAAGCTCCTGCCGTCCCCTCCCCATTGACCGCCTTATTCAGCCACAACGGCAGAACTAGGTGGTGAACTGTTTAGCCACAGCTTTTTGATGCTTTTCGCGACGCCATCGCGTTTTTGCTCTGACAGCTTCAACACTTCACAAAGCAATTGACGACGTT